GACGACGAGTCAGGGGATGATCCTGAAGAAGGCCCTCCTACTTCCTCTTCTGCGGCTGCTGCCTGCCTGGAGCTACTGGCGACTCTGCTACTACCGTCGAGGACCTCCTAAGCCCTACTCCTAGATCTAGCCGAGAGATCTAATGAATTGTATCTTTTTTATTTTTTTAAATATCAACATGCTTTTTGTACATATTGACATGAATATTATAATGAAGCTTGTAATAAAGTTTGTAATAAACTTTGAAGTTTGGAATACAGATCGACTTTGATCTCATATTGGAGTATGCTTTCAATTATTCTTCGTTGCTTGTAGCTTTGTTCTGATTGAGTAACTAAGTGTTGATTGAGAGAACCAAGTGTTGGTTGTTTGTGAGTCAGCCGCGTTGTGTTGACTCGAATGTTGAGGGGTCGAGACGACTGGCTCATCTTTTGCCACTTGTGGATGAGATGTCTGGGTCTTTTGTCGATGAGGACTGGCAAGTTGAAGTGCCTAAATCTTTTCTGTCAAAGACGACAGAACAATTGAACTCCATGCCTTAGGTTTACCCATGATGAAACCAAGGGCTTTTTGGCAGAATGACAACCCGGAGGTTGGGTGCCAAGGACTTACTTAGATGTCTAGGGCTTTAGCAAAAGGACAACTTGGAGGTTGGGTGCCCAGGACTTACGTAGACGCCTGGGACTTTGGCCATAATAGTCGAGAGATGTGGGAGTCGACCATATGGTGTGCCTTGGGTTTACCCTGAAAAGGCACTAAGGGCTTTTTGGTAGAATGACAACCCTAAGACTGGATGCCTAGGACTTACATAGATGCAAGGGGCTTTAATAAATTAAAACCCATGAGGTTAGGTGCCCCGGACTTACTTAGACGCCTGGGGTTTTGATAAATTAACAATGCTGAGGTTGGGTGCCCAGGACTTATGTAGATGCCTACGGCTTTGGCAAAAGGACAACTCGAAGGTTGGGTATCCAGGACTTATGTAGGCGCCTGGGACTTAGATAATCCAAAGGCTATGCCTAGGACTTACTGAAGTCAACTAGGTCTTTTACAACCCTGACACTATGCCTAGGACTTGCAGAAGTCGACTAGGTCTTTCGCCCTACGGAGGGCCGCCCTGATGGCAATTCAACAATATGACAACCCGGGGGTTGGGTGCCCAGGACTTACGTAAACGCCTGGGACTTGGACAACCCGGAGGCTATGCCTAGGACTTACTAAAGTCGACTAGGTCTTTTACAACCCTGAGGCTATGTCTAGGACTTGCAGAAGTCGACTAGGTCTTTCGCCCTACGGAGGGCCGTCCTGATGGCAGTTCGGCAATATAACAACCTAGTGGTTGGGTGCCTAGGACTTATGTAGACACCTAGGACTTGGACAACCCAGAGGTTGTGCCTAGGACTTACTAAAGTTGACTAGGTTTTTTACAACCCTGAGGCTGTGCCTAGGACTTGCAGAAGTTGACTAGGTCTTTCGCCCTACGGAAGGCCGCCCTGATGTCAAAATCGCAACATGACAACCCGAAGGTTGAGTATCCAGGACTTACGTAGACACCTAGGGCTTTAATATAGCAATGATGGTCGGAAGGTGATTGTGGGAGTCGACCATATGGTATGTGCCTTGGGTTTATCCTGATAAGGCACCAAGGGCTTAGGATTCCTGTATAAATTGGACACTACAGGAGTGCAAAATAGGAATCAAAATCGGTTTCAATAATAATTCCATTAATATTAAATAAAATTTACAAAATTATTGAAAATAACACTGCAAGTGTTCGACATTCCAAGGATGCTGGAGGCCTCTCCCATCTAGGGCCCTTAGATGATAGGTGCATGCTCGCAGCTCTTCTAGGATTGTGTATAGGCCTTCCCAGTTGGGAGCTAGCTTGCCTTTCTGGGTGTCTTTATCAAAAGCAGCTTTACAGAGGATGATGTCACTAGCATTGAATCTCCTTGGTCAGATCTTGCTGTTGTAGTAGCAGGTGATTCGTTACTAATTGGTGACCTGGGTCCGGAGTGTCTTCTCTCGGGTCTCGTCTAGGAGATCAAGCTCTACCCAAAGTCCTTCTGAGTTCATGTCCTCGTCGAAGTATTATAGTCGGATGGTCGGCATGCCTACTTCGACAGGAGTGACTGGTTCGGTGCCGTAAGCTAGCTTGAAGAGAGTCTTCCCGGTTGAGTTCTTGTGGGTCATGTATTACGACCAGATCATACTAGGTAACTCTTCAACCCAGTTCCCTACTGTGGTGTACACCTTCTTCTTCAACGCTTACATGATGCATTTGTTGGCAGTCTCTGCAAGTCCGTTGGATTTGGGATGGGCGACGGAGGAGAACTTGAGGTAAATGTTGTATTTCTAGCCTTTAGTGAGCTTGGGAGTGTAGTATCCTTCACCATCTTTAAAATCTAAAGACTCCAGAAAGGAAGCTAACCAACCTACAGAGGAGACGTGCTCCTGCTACTCTTGTGATTTGGAGCTGAGGTAGTCAAAGAGAACTAGATGTCCCCTGGAAGAAGCTTTGAGAGCGATGAGAGTTCCTTCATCTTGACATGAATGAGATCATACATCCCTTTTTTCATCTTGATGATCAAATTGATTTGCCTCGCATCCCAAACATTAAAAGTAATCTAGTCGGTTGCTTGACTGCAAGATGAGGAGTCCGAAGGGGACTATTTGTTGTACTCTAGAGGGGAGATGAGTCTCCGATCTTTGGTCTTCAGAAGGTGGGGGGAGAGCTGAGGTAGCTCGTTGTAGTTGCGGAAGCCGATTGAGAAGTTCGCTAGTAAAGGTAGTGAATTGCTCTTGGAGAGACTGAGAAAGCTTCTGACCTGTTTCCTGAAGCTGGGCTCAAGTAACATAGCTCTGAAGTGGTCTTACAAGGTGAAATGGATCAGACCAATGCTCAGAACCCGACATGTTTTCTCAAAAAAGAAAGATGCCTCACGGTGGGTGCCAAACTGTTAATGTACTAATGATCACACAGTCAATTGTATCCGTGATTGGATGGGGTTGTTGAGTATTAATGAGGGACCGCTTTCTTCCTCGACTTTATGTTTGGTTCTTGAATTGAGTGGCTGAAAAATCTGCACAAATAGAAACTCGTATAAGGACGGGGCTTGGGTCCCCCGTGGTTCCTCCGACGATCAAGTCAGCTGGTGAACTTGAGTGAGAAAAGTAAAGAACTACTAGAGTTCTTGTGTGTGCAGTATATCTGCTTAGGGATCAGATTTTAGATTTGTAAACCTTCGTTATGTTCAAATATTACCTGTATTTATACTAAGGGTGGGTAGATTGGTCACTTTAGCCGAGCACAGTATGACGGTGGTAAAGTGTGGGCTGGCAGCTGAGTCAGCACCTACTTTACAGGTGTCCGCTGGCGACTAGATAAAGGATCACTTTAGTATTAAACGAGAAGTAATTGGTGGCATGGTGCCTGCGTGGTCCGATGAGTCATGAAGGCTATCGAGGCTAGAGGCATAATGATGTCTGCCAAACATTAAATGCGATGTAGACACGTTGCCAGTGAGAGAGGCTTGAGGCAGAAGTTATCTTTTAACTTCGTCGAGAAATAACATCTTTGGAGTCGTCCTCGCGAGGCGTCTATCAAACGGTCGAGTGGGCTCGTGGCGAGTCATCTTCGACAAAAGGGGGCGACAAGTACCGCCTTTCGTGTCGACATGAGAAAATGTCGGCTCGACGAGTCAGCTGAGTTGTCGTCCCTACTGGTTCCTGGGCGCCAACTTGATTGAAGCATAGCATGTAGTACACATGTCCGTTGCTGGGCTGTGGGTTGCTTTTTGGCGAATGAGAACACCATAACAAATATGGAATTTTCTTTCCCCATATTTTGTTCCAACCTATCGAATTTATCTGGAAAATCGATAGTATGGTTGTAATAAAATTTTTATTTCATCATTCATTCTATATTTACATTTATAATTTGAAAGTATTATAATGTTTACATGCAACTATATCTTTTATTGAGAGTATTGCTTTGTCCTAAACCAGAAGAATGTTACTTTTGTTATTCAAGTGAAAATTTGCTTGCTTCAATGTTTTTTTTTAAAAATCAACTATCCAAGCAAACCCAAAAAAAACAAACCTACAAGTAACTCGTAAATATATAAATGTGTTTTATTTAGTTTCCATTTCCTATTCCTTTGCCCATTAAATCTAGTTACCTTTAATCCAACACTCAAGCTTAAATTTTCTTTCTTTTTTTTACGCCAAGCAGTTGGAACTTGGAAAACTGTTTTTCTTTAATTAGCATAACCAAGGGCTTGGAAAGAAAAAAATTCTAATAGACTTTGTGCTTTTGGTTTGAGACAATATTGTCTCGATTTTTTTTACTTGTGCTTTCTATTTATTTTAGAATTAGCCCCTTTTTTAGAATACACAAATGCCTATGCATATGGATCAAATAACCTGCTATATGTAAAAAAATAGTTATGAGATATTAACAATTTTTAGTACAGATATTAACAATTTTTAGTACAATACACACTTCCTTTTACAAAACACTAAAACATCATTTTGTGGTATATGATAAATTACACGATCCTCTCATCTATACATTCAATTACACTTATTATCCTTCGACTATTTTATTATCCATTATCCATTCGAAAAGTAACTGAAGGATAATACCTATTGGGAAGTTATAAGTCAGGACGGTCATGTGCAATCTACCACATTGTACATTCGTATTTATAGCTTAAAAAAATATTTCTGCACAATAACTTTATTAAATTAAATGCGTAAAGGGGAAAGTCAGAAAATAACTTACAGAAGTTTACATTTTAAGCTCTAATAACCCATTAAATATCTTTTCGTGGGTGACCCATTAATAAATCCCTATAAACAAGCAATATCTTAATTTTTAATGGGCTGCACAACAAACTTAATAAACCTTTGCTATGGCGGGTCCATCTGCACATATACCCATCAACAGAAGCCCAACCCATGACCTATCTCTCACTCTTTCTCTGTATATGTACGCAGATAAGGATGTAGAGGAAATACACTCAGATATATTAGAAAAGGAAGGGGAAAAAAAAGAAAAAGAAAAAAAGACATCCAAAATCGTTCCCGGCGTCGCCTCCCTCCTCTCGCCACCGTAGCTTTCGATTTCCGCCGCCGAATCTCGCCGGAGAATCTAGCCGTCCTCGCTTTCTTTCGAGGTACGAGCCCACTCAATCTCTCTCTGAATTACCAGTAATCTTTTTTTCTCCCTTTTTCTTTTATATTTTAATGGAATTGGACGCGGAGATTGATTTCACGTGTGCAAATTTTTTTCTGAAATTTATTGGTTTTTTATAAAAATTTTCGCAATAAAATAAATTTGAAACCCTAACTCCCATTTTTGCCCTTGCTTGTCTATCTGTTCGATCTATAACTTGCATATTGTTTTGTAAGTTTCAATCAAAGCTGTTACTTTTGATGTGCATGTTTCATGTCGCCGTTCATAATAAGTTAAATTTGTTTATCGTTAAATATGCAGTTATTGATAATGCGGTAAATAGTAAGTATTAAATAGCCAGTTAAATGGGGGGAGCATTTACTATTATTGAAGTTCACCAGAATGCAATTTCCATTAAGAATTGTACCCGTTTCAAATTTACCTCATTGCTATGTGTTTGCATTCGCTCGTGTGGTTTCATTTGGAATCTCTCCAGGATTTTACATTTTCAGCATCGAATTTTAGTAGGCCTTAATTTATGTTATGATCTTAAATTTTATTTTACCATTCAAACTTGTATCTTGCAACCCAATATATAGTTGTTGTGAGAGTCCCATTCGAGCTGTGTGCTTCACATGCAAAAAAAAAGAAAAAAAAGAAAAAAAGTGGAAAATGATTCTTGGCAGTTCATAAACGGATAGAATTGAATAATGAATGGCTTAATATTACATTAGGCCCATGTAGGCGTCCTTCAGGTTTTTTAAAATTTTTTGACTAAAAAGAAGAAATGGAGAATACATAAGAAACCAAAAACAATAATGAGTATTCATTCATGCCACAAATAAATCTAGGCTTCTTTTGGAATAGCGACGGATAGGTTCTCTCATTTTACTTTGATGATTTCTGGATCATGTTATATTTCTATGACCATTAGCAAATTGTTCTGTTATACTTAATGACAAGCATTTTTAACTTCAAAGTATTAATAACTAGTTTTCCCCGTGTAATGCACGACACATAGTATTAGTGTATTACAATTTACAACATTAGTATTACAATTTACAATATTGTTATATCCATTATATTGAGAGAAATTAATCAATCCTAGGACTTATCAAAATCCAGAAGCCCATTTAATTTATTATAAATGAACAAAAGAACTAAAAAAATAAAAAGAAATGAAAAAAATTTAAATCCTTTAGAAGTTTTCAAAAAACTAGTAAATATATCAAATCCACATTTCCTAAGAGTTGCTTCTTCCAATCTCCTCAAATTCTCATCATCGTAAAAAGAACAGGACAAAAAACCTAATGAAACAAATCTATGAATTATCCATAAGATATGTAGAAGCACATTAAAAAACAGAAAAAAACTTTAAAATGAATCCTCTTGGGGGGAGGGAGAGAGAAGATGAGGGTGGAGATTGTAAGGGTGAGAAGGATTTGTAGATTAGGGCAATGTATAGTAATTGTTTGAACTTAACGCCAGGTAACTTGTGTTGGATCTTAAAGAATTGGATTTAATGCAATGATTAGATATAATGGGAGGCTAAGACGTTATAATTTGTGAGCAGAGAAGTTGAGAGGTTCGCAAAAAAGAAATAGAAATTAATAAAAATAAAAGATATATTTTGTGAGCAGAGAAGTTGAGAGGTTCGCAAAAAAGAAATAGAAATTAATAAAAATAAAAGAAAAAAGGCAATGTAACCAAAAGGTGTCAAGTGGTAACCAAAAGGTGTCAAGTGGCAACCAAAAGGCTATTACTTTAGTATACAGTATATAGGTCACAGTGTTATTGTTACTACTAACATTAGGATTTTATGATCCAAACTACTGAGTTTTATGACGATTCACAGAAGAATATTTTTCTGACTATCAGAAACACTCTACATGTGAAAATTTTAGCTTATTCTTTCTGCTTAATGAGGTTAGTAATGTTCTGTTTGAAAAACACTGCAGGCATACATCATATGCAACCAAAAAGAAATAGAAATTAATAAAAATAATAGAAAAAAAGCCAATGTAACCAAAAGGTGCCAAGTGGCAACCAAAAGGCTATTATTTTAGTATATAGTGTACAGGTCACAGTGTTGTTGTTACTACATGTCTAACATTAGGATTTTATGATCCAAACTACTGAGTTTTATGACGATTCACGGAAGAATATTGTTCTGACAATATTACAAACACTCTACGTGCGAAAATTTTAACTTGATTCTTTCTGCTTAATGAGGTTAGTAATGTTCTGTTTGAAATACGCTGCAGGCATACATCATATGCATGTAAAACATGTTAATTTACAGAACCATTCTGATTCTTTTAGTGTTAAGTGGAATTCGATGAAAACATTTTTCTGGTTTAAAACTGGCATTTATCTTGTGTATATAACAAGTTGGTAAAAACTTTCATTTATTTTTGAATGCATTAGAACTTGAATCTACTGTGGACTGATAATAATAACTATCATTGGTCAACTAAAAGAACAAGTTGATATTAACGCAACATATCTAAGTTGTAAACTTCTAGTTATATAATTCTTTATTTTGCAGTTGCTTCATCAGGACATCTTTTATTTGCAATAACATCCATGCAGGATTGAAGCTTTTAAGGCGAGGAAGAATCAAGCTGATTGTTTAATAGGTGAATCAGGCTATGATAATAAAAGATCATTCTGTATGCCTCTATACATTGCTCGAATGAGAGAATCTGCACCAATACAGGCTTTATGGCTCAACAATCATCTCGTCTTCAGCGGTTACTCACTTTATTGGACAGTATCCTAATGCATTTGCAAGCATATCAAAATTCATGTTTTCTTGGAATAAATTGACTAGAATATTTTTTTATATTTATCATGTAACTTGCAGCTGCCATTTTCTTTTTGTCTTGAAAGGAAAAAAGTCTTTAACCAAATATAGCTGGTTCGACTCAAGCAACAAGATTTGCTGCTGCACAGCAGATTGGGGATATCGCAAAATCACATCCTCAAGACTTGAGCTCACTGTGGGAAAAGGTAGCAGCTGACTTAGCATAGTCATTTCTCTTTTTTTATTCTGTTGAAGACTTTTTTGATGATTGTGAATCTGCTACACATTCTCATTTCTCATGCATACCGTGGATAATGGAAATATATAGTAGCGAACTTGTTGAGTGAAATGGCTTATGTGGTGATTGTTAGTGTCATTGTTTCTTGAATTTCAAAATGATGTGAATTGGGCTTTATTTGAAGAACAAAGGTTTAGGAGGGAACATAGCTTAATCTTGAGACATAATGGCAAGCAAAAGTTACAGTTTCCCTTTACGAATGAATTTGGAAAAATAAGTGGTCATCTGACCTCAAATATTGTGGATTATCATATTAGAGTTCTAGATAGCAAGATAATGGGATTTGAGGATGTATCATGTAGAGAACTGCTTAATTTCCGAACATGTACTAAAATTTCCCAGCAAATAAGAAAATGCAGTCCGAGTATATGGAGCACTGTATTATAAAAGTCTTTTCCATCAAAATAAACTATCATTTGCTCCCTCCATAATAAGGAGGTATATAATTTTTAGTCAAGAATGACAACAGTTCTTGCGACATCTTCCCTCTGGGTTGGTTCTTGGGTTATGATTCATGGCTAAAGAAATCTGAGTGTTGGAGGGAGGTTCAAAGATCTACTTATTGATTATGTACCTTAAGCTTATTGAAGTAGGTAGTATATCTTAAATTTTTTTCTAATTTAGACATGCTCTAAAATAAAGTACAAGGATGACAAAACTTCTTTAATGAATTCCAATACTGCGTTCATCTTTGAGGCACAAAATACCAGCCAAGCAGCCAAATAAAATCGCTATCTTTTTGTATGGAAATTCATCTTTTTCTTGGTGTATGTGAGTGCACTCATTGGAGGCATTCTATGTGGGGAGAAAGGATGCCTCATATGGGTAAGAAAACATTTGTAATTGACAATTATGTCAATAGTTTAGAGGAGTTTGTTTTTATATATGCATCCTTAGAAAACTTCATATTTGACAATGCTTTATGAGCAGTTAAAAGACGTGTAAAAAAAATAAATGTATCAGAAATAAGAATGTTACAATAGTCTTATGGTTATACAATAAGGCCATGTTTGTTTTTTGTCATAGGACTAGCGGGCATTATATTTCTCAGACTATAGTACTAGGATTGCATTATCTTGGAACTATTTTAGTTCAATCCAATGTTTATTTTCTCATGGACTAACATTCAGACTAACTTAAAATAGTCGACACTAGTATTTTTTTAGGACATTATGACTTTTCTGCCCTGATGTTACTTTCAAAACTTTGTTATTCAAATTTAGTGACCTACAATGCATATGAGCTAAAGTTTCTGTTGCTTTAGATAGACATGTTTCTCCTTACTTATCTTTCTGCCTTAATTTAGTAACCACAAAGTGATGATTGAGACTATAATGATGTGAGATAAACAAGTTCCGAAATACACAAAATTAATTACATGTCTCAAAAATGACTTAAAATTCAATAGATTAAATTAATAATAAAAAGAATCAAAGCAGATTAAAACAACCTATTAAGAAACCATCTTGCCTTATCTCTCTTTTTTTCTGGCTTACATACTAATACAATTAATTTTTTCTACATACAGAACTAGTAGGTGGAAATTAACCATAATCAAATAAAAAATGTTTAATATAAACCCTATACCTAGAAACTTCACAAAAGAAGACTTTGTCATACCAAAACTGAGAGGAAGACGTGAGGCAAACAACAAAGGGTTAAGTTTCCATCTGAGGATAGCAACAATGTCGAAATCGCAGATGTGAGACAACCTAAAAGTATTTCAAATTTTTCGCTTTCTTTATTGTGGAGAAAGAGACAGTGGACAAATAAAACCTGCGAAGGGGAAAAATACAGCCTCGAAATAAAATTTCGCCGAAAAATATCCGCTAAAAAGAAAAGTTGCGGAGAAAATATTGTAGAAAGAAAAGAATGGTGGAATTAAAAAGTGTACGGGTATTTTTGTCAAAATAATCTTAATCCTTCTAGATAAATAATACCTATATTATAAAGGTGGGAGTAGGGTGGGTTTATTATGATAGTTCGCATTTTGGGTTAATCATTCCTTAAAAGTAGTACAAACTGGATAAAAAACAAACATGTGCTTAAACAATGGGTCCGGGCTATTTAAAATGGTACCCTCACTATTAAAAAAACAAACATGCCTAATAGATAGATAGGATAAGAAATGAGTGCATCCGTAGTAAATTAGAGGTTTCTATTGAGGATAAAATAAGTAAATCAATTAAGGTGGTTTGGTCATGTATAACGGAGACCTCTTAATGCACTGGTTAGGAAAAATATTAATATTATTAATGGGGGCAAAGAGATCTAGAGGCAGACCTAAGAGAACTTGGTTAAAACTTAAAAGCAACTAAGAAGGATATGACATAGTTAACTTAACGAAGGAGATTGCTAAAAATCGAACAGAATGGAAGAATAGGGTTTATGTAGCTAATCCCAAACATTTGAGATAAAGGCTTTGTTGTTGTTGTCGTCATCCGTAGTGCATTGTCTAGTCTATATTTGCGATTCTTAAGGCATGCGTTTGTTTCCTAAAAAAAAGGAATATATGACTTACAATTTCTTATTTTCTTTTTGATGTTTGAAAGTCATTAAAAAATTTCCCCTAAAATATGAGAAATATAAATCTTAACTAGAGATGACCAGTGTTCTAGTTGGCGGCTTATAAATCTCAACGTCCCTGGCTTGGGTTTCATATCTGTTTTCCATATATTTAGTATATGTTGTTCTTGTCCATAGGTTTCTTAAGTTTGTTAATATACTTTTAGAGGATTAATCATCAGCGCAGGTTTTTGGGTTAGTCTTTAATTGCCTCATGTTTGCTTTATGGTTTCTAGGTATCTCAATACCTTCGTAGTAAGAACTGGGACACAAGAGTAGCTGCTGCTCGCGCAATAGGCTCTATAGCTGCAAACATCAAGCATACATCTTTGAATGAGCTTTTTGAATGTATTGAAACTGAGCTGGTGGAATGTGGCCTTTCTGATGTCTCCAAAGGCATCAGAGCAAGTTGCACAAATTTTCATCCTAATGTTACGACAGGCCTCTCTTTTAGAAGGTTCGTTTCAGTATTATTCACGTGCTTTATGTTCTGGTCACTCTTTTTTGCATGTAGAGATACCTTTTCAGTGATAGCACAGTGGTAGCATAATATGGTCCATCTTCCATTTATTGATTCTCATATATGCAGATTTACATAAGACCTGATATATCCTCGGAAAGCTAACTTCTTCTAATCTGTTTACAGCTTCGACATCAATAAGGTGTTAGATTATGGTTCTCCATTACTGGCTTCAGGGGGACAGGTAATGATGCTTCTTTATAATAAAGCTCGCTACACAGCTTCATTTGCTTGGGAAAATTTTCTTATGCAGTATGAATAAGTCAATATTTCTTTCATTTATTATAAACCAAATATTTTTTGTTTTCTGTTCCATGCACATATATAAAACCTCATAATAAATATCTGGATAATAGAAATAGCAAAGAAATTATGATACTTTGATCTATATGCAGCTTCTCTGGGACTTTTATGATAATAACCAAGGATCAGTGCATCATGCAGGATCCTAAGTTGAAACTAATACTCCTACACGTAATTGTGAGGATAATAACTTTAGCTTCTCCTCGAGATTTTATAGAATGCAAGTCCAAATATAAATGGCAGCTAAAAACATAATACCATACACTTGGCAGAAAATTGTAGTACACACTTGCAGATCCATATGCGTCAAGCTACAACTACATGGATCAATATCATGGATGGGAATGTCTACTTATGCATGTACTAAATTTGTAAAAGCTGATTCCTGATACAATGATAAGCAGCAGTCATACCATTCTTTTAATTAGTGCTTATAGAGCATTCAATATGACAATGTTAGCACTCAGGGTTTTTATGTTAGACCCCGAAGTGAGTTGTATTTTGATATTAGATCTTTGCATTCTTGATTTACACCCTGAAATCCTTATGTTGTTTGACATGCAGGTCTAATTCCACAAATCTTAACTGATGGTGGGTCTAATTCTAATAAGAAAGTTCTGATTTGAAAATAACATAATTTGAGGTCTAATATCAAATGGAGGCAAAAGGGGGCTTATATAAAAATAACCCTAACGCATAAAGAACATAGATTGAATCTACTGCACTAGCTATTGAAGCACAAAATTAACTTTTGTGCTTGACAAATAGACTCACATCTGCATCTCATGAGTCTATATGAGTTCTAAATTTTTTTTCATGAGCATAAAATGATGAATCTAATTTCACTATTAAGAAGAGTCTCAAACTCAAAATCAAGTCATGTGTTTTCCTTTCCTTTTCGTTTCTTTCTCCATCATATTTTCCTGTCCTGTTTTCCTCTTTTTCTCTTTTGCTGCTAGACATATGTTCTTTTAGGCTATTAATGGATGAGAACAGTTAGAACTGGAACATAAGCTCTACTGTGATATATTTTTTTTGGCGGAGTGATGTGGGATAAATCGAAAAGTTGAAGTGAAACTGGACTTTACCTTTAGGACTCTTGGTGATGCAGGAAATTTATTTTATTTTGTTTACTATTAATTAAGGTAGAATAATTATTGATGAGTTATGACATGTCTTAGAATAAATAAGTAATATAATAATATTACAGTTGATACTATTAATAAATAATGGTTATTACTAAATTACTATTAATATGACTGTTATAAATAGCGGTAAATAGCCCCGCAATAGCGGCACTAATAGCGTTAGCGGTCCCTTCTCGCGACGCTATCGCCCAATAGCGGTGACATATTGCGGAATATGTCTGTTCGCAAAATCGGCCAATAGTGTGTCATAACGGTAAATAGTCATCGATTGCATTCGAAATTTGCTTTTTGACTGCTATTTAAAAGCGGTTTGAGGCTTATTTTTTTAAAATTAAACTTAACCCTTGACCATTGCATTTCACCGTCTCCTGTGATTTTTAACATACTCCCGCCACCTCTCATAGCCTCTGGTACCCATCTTGATCCTTCCTCTCATCTCCTTCACCTCTCATCTCCTTCACCATGAGCTCCTCTTAGGGCAGTCCTGTCACTGCTAAGCTTTTCTTCTCGTCTTAGGGCAGTCCTGTCACCGCTAAGCTTTTCTTCTCGAAGACGAAGATTTTTTAACTCCTCCAGTCATCTTCGGTATTACGTGATGGTTACATGTCTATTTCATGTTTAGGATCTCTTAAAATCATCCAATATGTACTTTTAGATTTCTTCGATTTTTTTTAAATTTTTTTTAGTATTTATACATATCTAAATTAGATCGCTATTTGACTTTACGCTTTTTACCGCTATTTTGCCGCAATAGCCCGAAATAGCCTTAGCGATGCCTCACTGCTACGCGACGCTATCCGCTATCGATAACCTTAATGAAACCACTCATTTGGATCTGTATTTGAATACTTAGATAAATTTGCATCAGCAATGATAAACAAATATTCATTAGTTAGACGAACATTGATTTATAGTATTGTACTATATATTAATGTTAATAACATCTTTTATGGAAAATTTCATATCTTCAGTACTATTATTATTCATTATTAATGGTTTTGTTAATGTTTCTGTTATAGTATATATGAATTTTCTTGTTTTATTATCATAACGGGATTAAATATATTTTATAATCAGAATACAAGATTGATTTATTAATAGTGGGATTAAATATATATTATAATCAGAATATAAGATTGATTTATTAACAATTATATTCCACTAATGAGTAGTAATATTCATATCTATTTTTATTTTCATAATTACAGTAATAGTTATTATTCATTTATTGGCAGCAGTATTGATAGAAATTTAGTGAGGATGCATCTATGGAGTTACATAAGTGTGAAATATCTGTGTAGGATAATATAAACTAGGGACTTAAATGTTGAGTCTAGGAGCTTTACAGCGAACATGACATTTTGTCTTGTCACTTTCACCTTCATTTCTTCTCAGTTTTCTATGTTTCTTCCTCTACTTTTACTTTGTTTCTGCCAGAAGGATCTCCTTGAGGTTCTTACTGCAATCTTTCTCCGTGTAACTGAAAAATTATCTATTGCCTTAGGGAAACGTCCAAGTGGTAACTATATAAACTGATAATATCTAAATACATTTGAGGTGTACATATTTGATGTGTACTATCAGTTTTCTTGATCTCGGCTGAGCACACATGTTGGACGTTGATGTTAATATATATTGTTTGTTTGAATTAATTTAACTGTGTGATTAACAACTATGAAGAAGATCAACTTGCTGTGTGTGAAACCAAAAATTTGGATTTGACATGATGTTATTTGCTAATCGGCCTGAATGTGATTCTGAAGAGACCTAATCTTTATTATAGTTTCCAAATTTCAAATATAAAATCTAATTTGGTTTGATCCTTAATTCTAGTACTTGATCCATGTGGTTTGATACATGCGAACATAAACAGATCATCAGGTCATGCGCTGATATGGGCCAGCTAGCAGTTACGAACAAAATAATAGTTGCTGAAGGAGCTGTTAGGACTAGCAGTGAAGTAGACATTAACAAACGTGTTGAGGATCTAATGGTGAAAGATTTCGTACACCAAGCAAAGATGAAGTAGGTCGCTGAAATATGACAATAGCTTCTATGGTCTTATAGATGCAATCAAACAAGCATGCAGATGATGATGCAAATACTTAATTAATTAGATAATATTCCTAAGATCTATACAGACTATACTATATAAAAGTTCTAGATAAGTTTCCTAGATGGTCTACGAAATAAGATAATAATCCTATATGCAATGATGAGAGAACATACAAGAATTGCAGGCAAATATGAATAAGACCGTAAGTATGTGTAGAACCACTAATAGAAACATAGCCACCATGCAATACATAAAGCCATCAAATATCTAGTGATAATTATAGATGTCATTTTCCAAGCCCTAGGAGCATTAGAGTTGTCTCCTGTATCACACTCTCTAGAAATTCTTTCAGGTCTTGAAATGATCAAATTTCACTGCAAGTGCTATCAGCGATCAGTTCTCAGGCTTACATGGACTGGTTTAATGAGGGACAGCAGTAAAGGAATCAAACGAGCATTGAACATGCGCTGTTTGGTCTGATTTCACTTTCTTTGATAAATGGTTGTTGGTTGGTTGGTTGGTTTGGGTCGGCCTGTTGGGGAGATGGAAGGCAATGATTTGGATGTATGTATGTTTGGGGTTCTTTAGATTGCTCTGGATGTTGTGGTAGCACAAATAAGAAAGGTTTTGGTTGCTGAATTGAGTTGTGGGGTTGTGATTAATTGTTGTGTGGGTAGCACATGAAAGGAATTTGATAAGTGGCAGAACAAGACAAGAATGCACCCCGTGAATTTTCTTGTTGCTTGGATGCGGTTAAAAGTAATTAGAGGGGGGCTTTCAGGGATGGGGATTGGAAGAAAAAATGTGCCAAGAATTAATTGGGGGAATATATGTAGATGCTGTGGTCCTGTGGTTTTTCTTTGGGCTGTTTGATAGCACACACCAAGAGAAAAAGAGGATAAGTGGTAGCTTCATAGCTTGGAAAGTAGAAGCGGGCAAGGGGACAGAAGCTAGCTAGGGTTAGGTTAGGGTTGGCCTCACACCAATTCAAATCACATGCGAACTCAATTTAAAAATTTCAGCAAATAATTAACCTTTTTGCATTCTTTAAATTTGAATACAATATTATATAATACGCCCGTGAACGAGTCTTAATACAAGTAAGAATCAATGAGAGTCCTAACACAACTAGAACTAGAAAGTTCAAATTCAAATTTCAAGGCAAATAACTAATCCTAATTACAGATAAGACCCAAAAAAAAATCAACTAAACTAATACATGAGTCAATCAAAACTAACAAAAAATGACTCTAATGACCCAATCATACACATTTGTGTTCTTTCTCGTAGACACTCTTGAATAGGTCTGGAAGGCTTGGATCTCCGTTGTAAATTTACCCTTTAAGAGCTAATTGGAGTAAAGTACTATTACCCTAGGGATTTGGGATAAAGGGTTTGTTGTTTTCTTGTTGCAATACTTTTGAAAAGACACCTTCTGAGTTAGCGGTTCTTTCGATTTTTTGAATTCGCACATGCTCAACAAAAGGAACTACCTGGAATTTATTTATGGTTTTTACCCAACTTATTGGGTTTTGATGATTGTCATCGTGATTTACTACCTAGATTCTTTGTTATTGTAACTGTCTACTATTATTTTGTTCTATCATTTTAATTGTATAATGTTATATAATGTTTCTAATCTCACTAAGTTCACTCGAACCAGGAATATGATGTTGCATGTGATAACATCAAGAATCCGACAGAGCGGCTTGCTCGTCAGAAGCAAAACATTTCCCGTCGTTTGGGTTAGCTTATCTATGCATTGTTATTTATGCCTTTTCTTAATTGTATTACTTTCTGAAAGTTTCTGCTGCCAGTAGTTTCTATGAAACAATTTTTTATTTCTCCATCCTCTGAGAAGGCATAATATATTTTTTAATGATTGTCTTCTTGAATTCCTGTTTCTCGTAGATTTTGGGATGTTCTAATTGCAGAAATTGTTTATTTGCTTATGCTATTTCATCTATGAATTTTCTTGTTCAAAATAATCACTTCTGAGTAATATTATAATGATCTATCTATGCTTATCTCTTCTTCTTTCTCATGTAAACAAACTGAGGTATTGTACTATTTGTTCTTATCAACTGCTGCTAAGTTTTGTCATATCTTTTTATTTTAAACAGTGATTGTTATCAATTGCCACTAAATTTTATCTTATCTTATTTTAATTTATTTGAAAGAACTAAATTAGAGAAGATTTTGGTTCTCTTCATAATATAAACTAGATAATAACCATACCCAATTAAGTGAGGCTGTTTATGAAAAGTAGAGTTGAAGATAAGTATGTTTAAATATAGATATATGATAACATAACCTCTCTTTCTTTTGTCAATATAAACTACTCTTTAGTTATTTTATATTTTCTCAATTTGCAATAATAATGTTTTATAAACATGCATTGCATGCCGAGTTGGATGCTACTGTATGCAGGCATATATCTCCAGACATGTGCCTTTCTTTATGCCTTATGAACCCTTTGGCAGTTCCTTGTAACCCCTGCATAAACAATGTCATACCTCAGTCATCCTCAGACAACCAAAAGGCAGTGGGAGAAAAGAGAATATATGATCATAAGAGGTGAAGATGTGGCAGAAGCTGGATAATAGAGAGTGAAGACTAAAGCGGATAATGGAAAAATTACTCAAGAGAAGAAATTTGATGTTTCTGTATAGGCTTCATATTTTTGCTCTAAATTAAAATCTAGAACGGGTTTTCTTAGAGTTTTTCCTGTATTCCCAATAACTAACCATTGTTCTATGATTTGACTGTATCATTTACTGCTCTGGGTATATGGTTTATTCCTTTCCCTAGTAGTGGAGTTAATCCACTTTATTTCTTTGATTCTTTCTTCGTTTTGAACATTGTCCAATAAGAGCGACTTTTGATTTTTGTCATCTCTTTCTGATGTTGTAATGTAGGTCCTTATAAAGTGGGTTTCTGTGGGCTGTCTTAGGATTATAGATGCAGTTGACGTCTATTGTTTTTGGCATGATTAAAATTCTGTTGTCCACTTCTGTAGGAGACATGAATGAGCTTATTTGGACTTTGATTGTTTTTATTTTTTTATAGGTTTTTCTTTTATTACTTTTTTTAAAAAAACTTTGTAGGATGTTATTTACTATGTTCGGTTTCTTGTGCTAGTGTTTTCTTCCTACTTCCTTTTCGCTTACTGAGGTTTCTATCATAATTTCATCTGAACATTATTGGGGAACAAAAAGAAGAATTTTTAGGCTTTGGATCTTGGACGTAAACTATAACTTATTTTTTTTTTTGTAGAACTGAATATAAAAGGTGTATATTTTGTGGATGCTGTATCCTATGTTGACAGTTTATTTTGCTAATGGCAGGTTTAGATGTTTGTGGGCAGTTTATGGATGTAAGCGAGATGATTAGGGATGAAGATCTTCTTGCCCAGAAGTTTCACCTGAATGTGAACGGATCAAATAATGTATATTATGCATCACGACCAGGACAAAATGTACAGCAACTCGTTGCTAATATGGTTCCTAATTTTCGTCCTAAAAGATTAAGTGCAAGGGAGTTGAATCTGCTTAAAAGAAAAGCCAAGGTAAATGCAAAAGATCATACAAAATGTAGGTCCGAGGATGATAAATTAGATGTACAACATCCCCAAAATCAAGTGACATCTAAAGCAACTTGTTCGGATCCTCTGGGCAACAAAAAGGTATAACTCTACTGCCGGTAGTAATCAGTTCAAGTGTGCATACTTGCAATACAGCATATGAGTGGGAATAAGCATGTTAACTTAATTGATTTATTTTGTTTTGTCCTTCTGAATGTAACTAGAAAGCCTTTGCAAAATAACATTCTTTGACTTCTACTTCCAGTGTAGCAAGTACTCTGATAATGCTTGGTACTGACCATAGGTAAACTGCTGGATCTTCTGTATAAATAGAGAAAACAGGCTAGGTAAGCTATGCAACTGATCTTGACACGCTACCACTCGTCATGCTGATTGGAGACACATTTTATTTAGTGCAACGATTCATATAAGTTTGTTATAAATGTGCTTAACAAACTCTAGATTGTTAAACCTTTTAATACCTTGTATGCATGTATTTGATGCACTGCATCTTCAAGATTAGGATCACAGTTGTCTGTTTACCTCAATTGTGCATTGGGGCTTATCCGTTAGCAAGGTTTTAAATGTCGGGCATCGGAGAAATATCAGATGGCCCAAATTCATATCTGATTGGGGATACATGGTAAATATTGGAATGCTATAATGGATGTTTGCATATGTAGTGTAATGCTCTAAAATATAATCTCAACATATGTAATGAAATCTAAGCATACAAAATGTACATAATATATGTTTAGGAACACTAATCACTCTTGTAAAACAAACAAAAGTACAAATCAACATCACGACATTTGGTTATTTTTTTAGGCCAAAATGTCATTTGATATAATGGGGAAATCATGATATCTCGCCCAAAAATTGCCAAACACGATATATTATTTTGCGATAAGCCATATAAAAAGATATATCAATCTACATATAAGCTGATATATTGGGGATATATCGCCCAAAAATGCCAAAAAACGGTAAAGGATATTTAGAGACCATATCGGTTGCGACAAGCCCTGTAAAAGGACATATCGGGGGATATATCTGACCATGTCGAAGATATTTAAAACAATGTCTGGTTAGTGCGGGCTCTGCCATGCTATATAACTATTACAGTGAGGGAAGCCTGTCAAATACATGAGGTCATTGTTATCAAGGCGCAAGACGCAATGCGGGGCGCAAAGGCCCCTTACGCGTACCATGCAAGGCGCACAACGATGCGCGCGCCTCACTGAATTGAGGCGCACAACTTAAACTAATATTTTCCAACATAAGACAAAGAAGCATATAAGCAATATGTTTATAAATTGTTACATAAAAAAACCAAGAAATATAATTTCACCGACTAAATCACGAAAGAGTCTTAATTAGCATGCATAACATAGAGAAGTTTATAAGTTTTCACAAATCACAATGCAAGATAATCTCCAACATAAGCAAAAGTTTATGAAACAAAACAAGCAAGTAACAAATAAGAAATATGTATTTTTATTTAAAATATGATATATGTATTTTTAAGTAACAATTAAGTGATTAAAAAACATGATTGTTCATAATTTTCTAGTTAGCATTCTTAATTGCTATTTGCTAGTTAGCATGAAAAGATTGTTCATAATTTTCTAGTTAGCATTCTTAATTGCTATTTGCTAGTTAGCATGAAAAGATAGAGAATGAATGTAACAATTACATATTACATGTTCATAATTTTCTAGTTAGCATGCTAATTAGAGAAGGAAGTTACAATTAGCAAACAAGTATACTAAATTACTAATTATTGTTTTTTTTTATAGGTTAAACATGAAAAGATGGAGAATGGATTAGCAACTAGCAATAAAGAGTCTATTACATGATGTAAATGTGTAATATGTAAATTATTAAAAAAAAACAGAAAAAAGAGTCTATTACATGACGTAGGTGTCAATTACATGACGCAGGTGTCAAGCGCGTGCGCCTCGCATGTGCCACGTGTGCGTGCAACGCCCCGCCTCTGGTGCGGGGCGCAATTACCCCAGCCCGCAGCGCCCAGCGCCCGGGGCGCACGCCTCGATAACAATGCATGAGGTACTAAGCAAATGATAGTTTGATCAAAGAACTCGTATATACAAGAGATTACATGGTCAGAGAAGATCTCCAAAATGAAATTGTCTGCTCGTATGATTTGATCTTTCTTTTTTCCCATGCATGCATACTTGCATATTATGGGATATTGTGTCTCGATTATATGCCCTGTTTCTGACCTATCGGTTAAATATTCTTTAGTAGTAGTCTAAATTTCTGAATGGAATTGTTTATTTGATCCAGATATAATGTAGAAAGCTGCTTTCAAATAGCTTCATTTGTCCTTTTATGGTGTAGATTAATTATGTTGCCCTGTTTCTGACCTGCTGCTTAAATATCCTGTAGTAGCTCCTAAACTTCTGAAGGCAATTGTTAATTTAATCAAGATATAATGTAGACAACTTTTTTAAAATGGCTTCCTTTGCCCTTTTATGGTGTAACATAATCCAGGCTTTTGTCTTAAAAAAAAATCATTCTCCCATATTTGGTTTTAATCAGGTTTGTGAACAACTGTTTAAACTTAAGATAATATAGTAAATCTCATTCTCAGTGAGTCCATGTGAATCCCTGCCCTAAAGCTCAAATGGCAGAGGAGAGGAATTGCAAAATCCTAAAGTCTGAACCTTAAATGAATAGAAAGGTAGCATGAAATGGGTGTGAATAGTGAGGATGGGGAGCCACATGCAAGAGAGTACTTGGTCCAAGTGCATCTTAGGCTTACTTTTTCACTGTGTGTGTTTGCTACCATTAATTCTTTGCACAAATGATTGATTAATAGTTGCTATCAACATACAGCTACATTGTTAATATATCTGCAAAATATGAATATCCAATATCAATGAGCTGAAGGGTAGATTAAATATTTCACTTTCATATTTCAATATTTGTTTTATCCTAACCTGATTTTGGGAAGGCCAAACTACTCAAATATAACTAATTGCAGAAAACTATAAAGTATAAACCAGGGCCTTTAACTTATTTATTTGTTTATTATTGGCAATAATAGCCTAGGCATAACTCTACAGATTCATGTTTATTAGGATTTGGAGTATGTAACTCCAAATGATCTTATTATAGAATAGTTGAATTTTGTTTTTTCTTGTTTTATTCAAGAAATGAATTAATGCTAAAGATCAAACTTATTTTCATCCCAATTTTTTGGTCTAATCTAGTGTTCAGCAACATCTGGTCCATGTCAATATTCTGTTTTAATCCATATTCAATCTTGATATATGAACCTTTTTTCATATTAAATGTCTATCAGCATAACACCTCTGTGCAAATTCATTAAGACGCACATCTGCAATATATACTTATGTAGCAATTGGTCTTTATTGATCACAGATGATGGGTAAATGGGTTTTAGGGTTAAAGGCTAACTCGCTTAGCTGCAAGGTTTTAAATATCTGTTATCAGAAATATATCGGATGGCCAAAATTCATATTGGATCCCGGTTATCGGGGATATATTGGGGATAAGTAGTAAAAATGGGTCCTATCGGATGGTGAACATATATAATACAATGTCCTAAACTGTAATCTAAGTTTATTTAATTTAATATCAAGAGAGGGTCTTCGAGAGAGGTCGTCAAAAGAGGCCTTTGAGTGAGAAATTTGCGAGTGATTTGGGGGAGAGGACAGTGAAGGCGGAGAGAATTAGGGTATGTGAAATAGAATGGGATAACATGGTTTTTGTTTAGTGGATGCAGGTCAAGTATGGAAAAAGGAGGTTTTTGCCTTCAAACCTAAACTGGTTCACTTAGAATGTAAATTGTAGAAAATTGAGCGATTTTTAAGCCACGAGAAATTGGCAGCTTTTTAGGATTTACACTGATATATCAAGACAAATTGGCCAAGAACGATATGTGATAACTTTTTGTAAAAATCGTATCGGCCATGGCTCAAACCATATATATTGGCGATAACTCGATTGGCCTATTTTTAAAACAATTCTTAGCTGTTGATATGAAACATGTAGAACTTAAATTGAACAGGTCAGATCTTCAAAACTGAAATCAGAAAACTTATATGCACCACTTGTTCTCAACAACTTGTCCATGTAAGTTCTTAAATGTTTACCATTCTTCTTAACACCATGTTTGATGAATTTCATTCATTAACTTTAGGAAGTCGTCATAAGTTCAACTTCTTATTTCAGATTTCCGTCATATTGTAAAACTCTAAAGTTCAATATAATCTCTATTTTATTACAAAATGTAAGTGGCACTTGGAATGACTCTTTAACTTTTCTCTAATCGTCTGTACTGCCAAAGCCAGAACACGAGAAAGGGACAGAATATATAAAAAGCTAAAGATTTCTTAAATCTTGAATATATTTGCACACTTGCCCTTTTACTATCACACATGTATTCAAGCATGCCTGTTTCTGTATGTGTCTGAATAGCTTCTGACTCTACTGCCTGATAATACTCCTCTCCTCAGGATTTTGTTGATGCAGTTGAAGATGAAGACAGTGTGGAGCATGAGGGGAATGGAAAATGGCCCTTTCGGTGTTTCGCTGAGCAACTGCTTCATGATATGTTTGATCCAGGTGAGTTTTTTGTTTCCCTTAACTAAGTAATCTTAATGATCTCTACCCTATTGATTAGTATTACATATTCTACAACATGCCCCATTTATTGTGTTGATTTACAGTTTGGGAAGTGCGCCATGGTACTATTATGGCTTTAAGAGAAATTTTGACTCATCAAGGCTCCTGTGCTGGAGTTCTTCTTCCAGACTTGAGCTCAGAAAGACCCCAGTTCATTGATTCGGATGAGAAAAATTTCACAGACTCAACGAAAAGAGGTAGAGATATTGACCTAAATGTACAATTTGAGGCAAATCAGCATGAACCAACCTCTAAAAGACAAAAAAATTGTGAGGAGTCAGTTCTCCCTGCAAATATTACATATTCGTTGGATTTGGAGACAAATCACACTGCAGATGTTAAATTTGATGGTATCCCATGTAATTCAAGCCCCACATTTGTTAATGGTGGCCTTGGTACTGCTCATATAAAGGTGGAATCAGATGTTTCTACAGATGGTTTTAGTCCTCGAGGGAAGATCGAGGATGTTGCTTCTCTTGAATCTTTTATTGAATATGAGAGCTCAATCTCAAATATAAATCTTCCTGTGGATCGTCCTCAAAGTTCCAAACTTATTAAGTTGATGACATTAGCCAGGCACTCATGGATCAAGAATTGGAACTTTTTGCAAGATTGCGCCATTCGATTCCTTTGCATACTCTCTTTAGATCGGTATGTTTGTCACTTTTTCTGACAGATATTTGTATCTTTACGTGCTACACATTAAGCTGAATTTTGTTACCTTCTAATATTGTTTGGTTTGTTTTTCTCTGTTTGATGTTTTTGAAGCTCTTTGAAATGTGTTTTTCTCCTGTTTATGGTTTCTTCTATTTTCTTGTAGTTTCGGGGATTATGTTTCTGATCAGGTTGTTGCCCCTGTTCGTGAAACTTGTGCACAAGCTCTTGGTGCTGTGCTTAAGTACATGCACCCTTCACTAGTACATGACACTTTAAAAGTTCTACTGCAGATGCAGGTAGTGTAGGTTACGGGTGTTCTTTTCTCATTTGAAACAAAGTACAATTGCTCTGTACTGATCTGCATCTTTTTCTATTGCTCTATGCTGATCTGCATTCCTTGTTATTATCTTGCTTTTTCAGTACAGACAAGAATGGGAAATTCGTCATGGATGCCTTTTGGGAATTAAATACTTGGTTGCTGTCAGACCTGTATGGTTTTTTCCTTTCCTTAATTTCTACATATTTTCATCCTATTGTGTTTGTCTTTTAAGTAGATAGTTAACCTAATGATTAGTTTCAGCTTTAATCAACTGACATTGTAATTAATGGTATCAGATAACTAATAACCTTTTGATTTGACTGGTTGGTTGTCTTTTTTTGGTTCTTCCAGGAATTGCTCCAGGATCTTCTAGTATATGTACTGCCTGCATGCAAAGCCGGGCTCGAAGATCCAGATGATGATGTTAGAGCGGTTGCGGCTGAGGCCTTAATACCCACAGCTGCTTCGATAGTTTCTCTGGATGATAAAATGTTGCATTCAATTGTTATGTTACTTTGGGATATCCTGCTTGATTTAGATGACCTTAGCCCATCCACTAGCAGGTAGTGCTCCTTCACTGCTATCGCCTTTGGACCAATAATGCTTAACCAATAAAAGCTTTGTTGTTTATTACAATTCATCATTATATTCTCAAACTTCTTCACTTAGTTTGCTATAAAATATGTTGGTCTGGCTTTTGGAGAAACGATGAAAGTTGATATAACCAAATCTTAAAAATTATTCATTTTTTAGCTTGTGCAAAATTCCACAGCCCATTCCAGTTCTATATAGAAACGGCTTAAATAGTTACACGCAACTTATATTTGGTGCTATGTGTTATTCGAGGTACGTATAGCATTACAAGATTATGTACTACAGAAATGGATAGGCAAAAGCAATCATTTAGAAAATGTTTGTTTCCATGGCATCTTAAGCGAGAGTTTGAGATTAAGAAAGATGTATTGATTGAATTAAATCGGATGGTTTGAAGTAGAGAAGTGCTTTTAGACTTTTATTTGATTCTAGAATACCCATGAAGCTGAAGAAACAATTCTATGGGATAGTTATAACACTAACTACATTTTACAGATTGACAATTGAGAAATACACCAATAAAATGAGTGTAGCATAGATGGGGATGTTTGGAAATTTATTAAGGGATAGGATAAAAGATGAGTGCATCCATAAGGAGGTAGAATTGACCTATTACGAATAAAATGCAGAAGAACAAGGAGGTGACTTACCAGCTAGAAGTGATAACTATTACTATTATTTAAGAGAAGCCTTTTCTTGGTGTTCTACCCTTATGAGTCATGAATTCAAATAAATCCATCAAATATCCGCATAATTTACACATAGTTCAATAGTCATGAAAAGGATAAACTTTGAAAACTCAAAAGACTACCATTTTAACTCCATCCATCCTATGTTCTCCATAACTATCCCTAGTAAGCACCACTAACTATTTTAAATACCCCACTTACTTAACCATCCATCCAACTAGTCATTTTTTAACGTAAAGATTGAATTATGTATGCACGTATCGCAAGCACGAGAAATAGTACTATTAATTAATGGACCAGTATGGAGTTAAGCCGAGTTTGAGAAACTTGGATAGAGACAATTAAGCTGGATTTGATACTGATTTAATTAATGAAGGATATAACCCTTAAATAGAAATGAATGAGGAAAAGTTTTCATGTAAGCTATCAATTTTTTCTGAATATTAGTTTTTTTGTCATTACCTCCATGGTGACGATGCTGGAGCTTCGCTATGACTGTATCCACACCGCCTGGTGCTGACAGAGTGAAGCATAAAAACTTGGAGGGCACAAAACCTTATCCTGAAAAATGACTTGCTTTCTCATGGCCTCTGAGTCTCTGACTAAGGGTTACTTTTCCTAGTCTGCTGCCTATTAGGTTGCAGTAGTTTGCAAACATTTGGCCGCTGAGATGGGTCTTAATATTACAGTGTCAACGATTTCAGTGACTTGGTATCCTGACCTTGTCATTTAGTATCATATCTGGTTTCTACCCATTCTAGTAGTTGCCATGGGCAGAAGTTGCAAACTTGAGGAGGTCTTTCATTGGGTTGAGGTTCACTGAATGTCAACTTGAAATTAAATTTGTTTGTTCCCAATGTTGTATTGTTCTCAAGCTTTATGAGTTATTATCTTGTTTGGTTTATATGGATCTTATGGTTTAATTTCAATCTTACAACATATTCAACTTTGTGCAAATCAATACGAGTGAAGTTGGCTACTTTATTTTTTTATTTACTTTTGTTTATAGAATCCCTTTTGATAATTAAGCACTTTGCTTGCTTGTCATAGCACTTTAGTCTTAAAACCTGAATAACACTTGGGTAGACGTCTGCTTCCTTCCCATTAAAAAAAAAAAGAAAAAAAAAATCATTTCTTATTATCAAACCTCTTTAAACTTAAAGATAATGTTTCTTGTGCAACTTTCATTCTTTATGCTTTGCAATCTTCATTCAAAAGAGCATTTAATTTTTTTGGCATGTTTCCTTCAAGCATTCCATATTATAGTTGATTAACATTAGTGGAGATGTGAAGTTGTTCCCAGTGATAAATTGCCAAAGCTACACAACCAACCATGTAGAAGCTGGACCATCCTATAATATCCAGCATCCATAGCAAATTTTTGTGTTAATTCCTATTGTACTTTCCCTTAAAATGATTCTCTAAATATATGCTTTCATTCTATAATTTTTCCTATTTTTAGTTATTGAATTAATTTTCTTGTATTGATCGTGTAAGTATTGATGGCTTTCATGTTTCCTACACCGAATGGTACCACCATAAGGCAACCAGATTTTTGGCTTTGGTTGAGGGCAGTACCAGCTTAGGAAGTTCTAATACAAAATTGTATAGACAGTTTTCTCCTTATGCGTGGTAAACCAACTATTGGGAATAAAAAGATATATATTGGCAGTAAGTGGTAAATTCACTGGCTTAGTCAATGCAACGACATTGCTTTCATATGAATGCTATGCCATCAACTTTTCTGATTGATAACGTATAAGATGGTATGGTAGAATGTAAATAATGAAACTAAGATGCATGCTATACATATATGATCCCATCAACTGTGCGTCACCTGTATTCCATCTATTTCTGTACAAGAAATGAATGAATATGAACAGGGAGCAAAGAGCTTCTTGTATTGTCAAGTTTGACTTTAAAAACTATATGAATGCTTTACCTATCCATACAACCGCCCTGTGTTTATTCTACCTCCTTGGTTTCATACTCAAGATATACTTGAAGTAATGAAATGTAATATATTAAAATTTTATTTTCATTCCAATTCAGAAGAGTTCATAAGAATAAATTGCTTATGCTCAGACCAATACTCTCATTAATAAACAACTTGCAAAATTATTTCTTCCCGGAGATGTCATCCTCATTGTGGTTCTAAGTAGTGCCGCCTAGGTGCTTAGCAGTTCAAAAATTAATCCCTATTTCAAAGCTACTTCACTAAAAAGAAAAACAGCCATGCTTCTGAATGTCTAATCTAGGTGCTTTTTCAACCGCTTAAGAGGCCAGGTACTGTAGTTTCATTGTTATCCAAAACTGTAAAACATTAGATTATGCTGCTGCAACTCAGCACGCAATGACCTCTTTAATGGATGCCCTGGAACTTACTTTTGGTGTTTTGTTTTGAGATTCACGTTGTTTGTTCGAAACAAATGTTTGATTTGTTAATGGAATTATAATGGTTTTGGTTAATTCTTGTTGGTCTCTGTGTAGTGACTTATTATCTCTACCTTTTGAGACACAAACACGCACATTCTACAGGTTAAGTTCGTGTTGTGGCTGAGGGTCAAATTGTTAACAACATGATTATTTTGCTTCGTTTTAATTTATAGGGATCTGTGCTAGATTGCTAGTCAATCTATCGATTTCTCTGATTACTGCATTCCCTTTGTTTTGGTGGACTTCTGAACAACTCTTTCAGTCTGCAACTGTAGCTTGGCCTTGGTCCTACAACTTCCTTAGCTAATTAGGTAGTTGAATATATTTCTCGGAGGATAAGTTACATTTATGCATGTTCACGGTCAGCATACCAAATGTCTTGGAGGTAGAATGGCAAGCAAAATGAATGGTGATAGTAACACAAGTCTCTAGTCATGGAGAAAGTTCAGTAAATGAAGTTATCACAAACTTAAGTCCCATTTGGAGTAGCTGTTGGATCATAGTTAATGAAGTAAGGACGAGTAATAAACCTAAAAGAACATGCATAGAGGAAATTAAGGTTATATAGTTACTTATTTAACAAAGGAGGTGGCCCTTGACAGAGTTGAATGGGTGAAAAAATCCATGTAACTGAAAATATCCTGAATCCTGGAAGGTTTGATGTAATACATTTCTCTTCTGTTTATCTATTGAGATATAAATTTCATTCATGTTATGTCCTGAGTTTAAGAATTACAAAAGCAAATATTGTGCATCAGTAGATTTTCCGTGTTTGACTGTTTTGAGATATCTTCATCTCATTTTAAGTTACCAATAAGCGAAATGAAATTATTGTTTAAGGTTATTACCTGTGTACCTATTTCTGATCTTGTTTCAGTGTGATGAATTTGTTGTCCGAGATTTACTCTCAGCCTGCAATGGTCCCAAAAATGCTGGAGACACTGAAGTCTGCTGAGAAAGAAGAATTAGATCTTAACAAAGTATCTCATGCAGAGGAATATAGGGAGGAGGTTAAAGATTTGGACAATCCTTATATTTTATCCTCTTTAACACCTCGATTATGGCCATTTATGAGACACAGCATTGCATCAGTTCGTCATTCTGCTATAAGAACTTTGGTAAACATTTCTTCCCTGTGCGGTTCATTGTTTTATGTTTAGTTTTAATATTTTGATTTAAATGGATGTTTGATTCCTCTAGATTAATGGTTAATGCATTGTGCATGTGGAGAATCACATTGCAGTTTTAGTTTTTATTCATTTATTCATTCTTTCTTTTATCTTTTTGACCTTGTTTTCTTCTTGGTCTTCTATCTAGCCGTTGTGCCGCTAAGTACTCCAGTTAATATCATTATCTCAATGTTATGCAGGAGCGGCTTCTAGAAGTAGGATATAGAAAAAGCTGTTTTGACTCCACAGCTGGTAGATTTTGGCCTGCTTCTATTCTCGGTGATGCACTAAGGATTGTTTTCCAGAATCTACTATTAGAATCAAATGATGACATTATTCAATCTTCAAAGAGAGTGTGGAGTCTCCTGCTTGAGGTTATTTTTTTTCCACTTACAGTGTCAGGTTACCTTTTGACTTGATTCAGCAGTGGCATTTTAGGGCTTGTGACATTATTCTGACAGAAGAATTTGTTCAGTGTCCTGTGCAGGATTTAGAAGTTGTCGCAGTGTCATACTTTCGTTCATGGTTACAGCTTGCAGCTACTGCATATGGTTCTCCTTTAGATACCACAAAGATGTTTTGGCCTGTAGCACTTCCTCGGAAAAGCCGATTCAGAGCTGCTGCCAAGATGAGAGCTGTAAAGCTTGAAAGCGAATATGATAGGAAGTTTACTTCTGATCCTGCGCAAGAAAGCGTTTTGCAGGAAAAGAATTTTGATGTTTCCACACCTTGTGGAAAAATAATTGTCGGCGCAGATAGTGAAAAATCTGTTACTCATACTCGAGTTGCTACTGCAGAAGCTTTAGGTGTTTTTGCCTCTAGATTACCCGTTGGTTCTCTGCATGTTGTGATTGATCCACTATGGAATGATCTCATCTCATTATCAGGAGTCCAGAGACAGGTGAATTTTCCTTTTTTTTTTCACTTGTTAATATGGTCTATGTATTGGATGTTACAATCAAGTTTATGTTTATCCTGACATTCTCTGACTGAATAGAGGGCATGTTGTTCCAGGTTGCTGCTATGGTTCTTGTTTCTTGGTTCAAAGAGCTCAGAAATGCGGACCGCTCTAGAGACCATGAGAATTTGCTTGCCCTTCTGGAACATATAAGGAAGTGGCTTTTAGATTTATTAGCATGTTCGGATCCTGCATTTCCTACGAAGGATTCTATTCTTCCTTATGCGGAACTTTCAAGAACTTACGCTAAGATGCGCAATGAAGCTAACCTTCTTCTCCAGTCAGCTGGTTCTTCTGGCTTATTTCAGCCTTTGATTTCAAGTATTAATATAAACTTGGATACACTAAGCATTGATGATGCCGTGAACTTCACTTCAAAGCTTTCAATACCCAGTGACTCTGCTAGCAGTGCTACTTTAGGGACACACTTTGTGGATGATGTACAAGCATTAAAAGAACGTCTTTTGTCTACAGCAGGATACTTGAAATGCGTTCAGGTATATTTTCACGCGACATGTTTATACCAGAGATTTTTACTTTTTGCTGGTATTGTATGTCTATGTAATGCATGCCCACACATAGATTAATCATACAGTTAGATGATGGTACGACTCTTGAGATTTCAACTATGAGATTGCCTAATAGGTTATGCAAACTGTCATTGTGACCTTGACCATGATTCGGCGTCTTTTAGGCCTATATGTATTAAAAAAATTATACATGATATTTAGATCTTGAAACCTGTACTTTTCTTCAGACAGTTTAAAGATCGGTTAGAAGTAATCCATTTTGAAATCTTGATAGTTGCACATTGGGGAAAGACCTTCAAAAGCCATTTGAACTGTTTTCATATAGATTATGGTCAAAGATGCTGATAGATACTTTATATCATAGCGAATAATGCCAAACTTTCTTGATTACCTACAGCTTTATTCTCACTATGGGGCTGTTTGGTTGTATGTTTTTACCATGTAAAAGGATGTAAAGTGTAAAAAAGTGGGTCCCAATGTCAGCTTTCATCACTTTCAATTGTTTGTTTGTAGTTGTGAAAATAGTGTAAAGTGATTTCATATGCTGATGTGGCTTGTAAAGTGATTTCATGAAAAAATACATGATTTTAGGAGAAAGCTAACATTGAAGTTAGGAAAAAATAATAAAAAATAATTCCAACCAATATGATCATTTGAGTAGGGACCACTTTTTATACTTTCCAAACAAACAATTAAAGTTTCATTTTGCAAACCAAACAAGTGTTTTATGATTCCAATGGAATCAAAAACAAACAAAGAAAAGTATAAAAGTGAAATTGATGAGGTGGACAATAACTTTCCAAGTTGTGTCATAAATACACAACTTTACCAACAACAACCAAACAGCCCCTTAAAAGAAAAGGAAGAATACCTGCAGAGAGAAAGCCTGGCTTAAAAGTTTGCAGAAACATAATTAGTATTAGTTGATGCAAAGGAGTAGGGGAACTGGAGCTCTTGTCCACCAACTTTTTTATCCTTTGATTTTGCTTTGAGATTCGTGCTACGCATTAAGGGTATCTTTGAGTTGTGTGCATTGATCTATATCACATGCTAGCATAAATCTCAAAGTGAAATCAATGGATACCAAAATAGGTGGACAAACAAGCTCCTGTCCGCTTAAGTCTATAGTAGCTTTACTCATATATGTGCGCGCGCACGTGCAGGCGCGGATTGTTCAAGTCCTAGGTTGCAGTGCCACGCGTTTACAATTTGCTTGTAAACATGCAATAATTTACACGCCCCCCCTCCCGCGCCCACCGAGCCTCCCGCCTATCGCCCAAAAAAAAAAAACATAAATTATAGAAATTGCATCCCAAAGCCCAAAAAACCATATAAATTAATAACAATTAATTCATTGGAAAGTAGAATCTCATTTAAATTTCTAGCAAAAGGTTTATTGAGTGCGTTCCCATTGTGTATTATAGTTTTATAATGTTATATTTTTATTTCTAGTTAAGGGCCTGTTTGTTCGCCTAAAAAAATTAAAAATCAAAGAAATGGAAAACTATTAAATCAAAGAATTGTTTTGGGAGTGTTTGGTTTGCTAAAAAAAGAAGGAAATCAAAGAAATGAAGATGAGTTGTCACCTTACTATAGGATGATGTGAGTGATTTTTTAAGAAAACTTGTTTTGATGTTGCTTGGTTGGCGAAAAAAATAATAAAATAAATTATAAGAAACCTATTTCTTGTAATAGGTTGTTTTCTTTTGCTTGGTTATTTCTTAAAAATAAGAAAATATATGAGATGTGATGAGTTGTCATTATATTATTGGATGATGTGACCCACACTTAAGGAAATTGTTTTCCTAGCTTTTTGGGAGGAAAACAAAAAAATGAAATGTTAATGAGATGAGATGAGTTGTCACAATCTTATTGGATGATATGAGTAATTTTTAAATATGAGATGAGATGAGTGATGTTGTGGATGAAAATAATATTTTATTAGATGTGGTAGATGTGATGGATGAGTTGTTGGATGAAAATAATATTTTATTAGATGTGATGGATATGTTGTTGGATAAAAATAATATTTTATTAGATGTTGTGGGTGAGTTTTAGGGATGGAAATGTGTGAAATTGTACTTTTTGAGTTTTCTTGGTTTGCATTTTTATTTTTTGGTTTTTTAGGAAATAACCAAACAGCCCCTAAGTAGACACTTGTTGCCCCCCATCCGGCCCAAAAAAAGGAAAAAAAGGAAAATTTCCTGCATCTGCCACTCTGTGTACGTGTGTGTGTGTGTGTAAAAGTGGACATTGATGGTAGCATGGAAAATTACATGTGCTAGTAATCCAAAAGGCCAATTAAGCAGGGATGAATTTCCCTTTTCATCATGATCTCTATACCAGTGGTTTTTAAACTTTAGAGAATCGAGTGATCCTCTTTGTTTTATGAAGAAAACCCATTAAATTGAGCTTATGGGTGACCGGTCCAACTTGTGATTTTTACCTGACAAATGAATGATTTGACTCAACCAATGGCATTGTCCGCTATATATGCTGAATCAGGAGCAAAGTACATCCTCTGTTAGCAGCTGGTATTCC